TGTTATGCGCAAAATATCAATATACAATAAAATGAATATTATTAATTTATATCAAATGGTTTTATTTTAGCAAGTACGAGCAATAGTAGCAGAAACAATTCTGAAAATATAGAAGGTAAGTTACAAAAATTGATTTACATTTGACAAAATTGCCTACATTTACATAATAATCTAAACTATAATTTGTTTTATTTCAGCAAATACCAGTACCAGTACAGCGAATAGCGATAAAAGTGATTTTGAAAATATAGAAGGTAAGCTAAAAATTTTATGCATATATTTACACAATGCCACAATTTTGTAAAGATACTATAATCTATGCATTGATTTATTAACATAAAATAGATGGCACGCGATTGACCACGTTGCAATAAACCATAGGCCATTCACAGCAACCATCCAGTGGAAAAATTCTAGGCATCGATAGTTGTGAATGACTGTAGTCAACGTAGTCAATCGGGTGTTTTCTACATAAAATAGATTCCGTAATGCAATATAATTAATGGTAACAATATTTTATATTTGTAGGTAAAGAAACATAGTCTTTGTATGTAAACGACAATAATATTATAGCCCAATCTCAAATTGATTTTATAACACTCATAACCTATTTTTACTTAAATAGCTAAAGTAAATTTAATAATTTCTAATTATGTAACTTTTGATATTACGTATTATATAAAAAATCATGTTTTATATATATATAAATACTGCACATACACACACAATATAAAGGTACATAATTAGAAATTATTAAATTTAACTTTAGCGATTTAAGTGAATATAATTTATGAAATGAATGTTATAAAATCAATTATGTATGTATAATATTTATGTATATAAAATATTTATTATTTTTAATTGTTACAGGCACTCATCTTTGGAGCAAAGCTGAGACTTTGCTGCTTATAAATACATATAGTGACTACAAAGACGAGTTTTATAGTGGTAAATGTACTGTAAAACAATCTTGGGAAAAAATAGCAAAAATTATGCAAGACAAAGGATATAATGTATCGGGTGTAAAATGCTCGACAAAATTTCAGGCCTTGAAACGTACATATAAAACAATTTTAGACCATAATAGCAAAAGTGGTAATAACCCTAAGAAATGGAAATACTTTCAGGTATTGCTTATTTTTAAATTTTTATTTTATGTAAAGACATATGCTTGTTCTTATATACATGTCTTATATACTTATATTTATACAGGATGTCTCTATATTTGCGCCCGCGGAGTATAAGACATACTGTACAGAACCTAATACAGAAACAATGTTCTTCTTTAGCAAAATTGCGCCCGAGAAACTATATTAACATTACAGAGTATCTTATTATTATTTATCGGACTATTATTATTTATCGTAATTTTGCTAAAGAAAAGTTACTTCTTTTAGCATAAAGTATTACGTCTTGTATTGCACGGGTGCAAATTTAGGGACACTGTATATCTATACTTAACAATTTTATTATACAAATAATATTACTTGTTAGAGTGAATATTACTTACTAAAATGTAAATTAAATATAATGTACTATTTGTATCTTTTTTTTTCTCTTCTTTACTTCAGAATATGCAGGAATTATTTGCGGACAAACCATGGGTGCAACCATTGGCAGTGGCTGGATCTCATGTTACCGAAAGTGAAGAAGAAGAAGAGAATCCACCAGAAAAACGTAAGATTAAATATTTTATATGTATATGTAAATTAAATTTATTAGGTTAGCATTTTTATAATTATAATTTCAGGTATTAAAAAAAAGAAATTAAATACACTTATGGAGCAATACATAGCAGATAATAAGGAAGAACAAAAGAAAAGAAGAGAGAATAAGGAAAAGCATCATAATGAAAAAATGGTTATATTTAAGCGGATTGAGAATATAATGGAAAGACTGTTAGAAAAAAGAAAAGATTAATTGTGATGTTAGAATCAAAAAGAAAAAAACTTACGTTTTTATTTTGTTATAAAGTTACGTTTACAAACTTTAAAAGTTGAAATGTGATATTAATCATTTTATTTTGATTTGTTTAAGAGTTAAAGTGATACTAATTATAATTTTATTTTAATTTGTTTAAGAGTTAAAGTGATACTAATTATAATTTTATTTTAATTTGTTTAAGAGTTAAAGTTGTTAGAATGTAAGGTTCAATTAATCAATGCGCCCTGTCTTCTACTTTAGTACATAGCGCGTTTCTATTTTTGTTTTTATATTCTGGCGCGTAATGTGTGCGGTAGCATCATGCGCATGCATCCGGTTTCCTGTTCCCTCCTCCCTCTTGTGGGTTGGTTTTTCTGTATGTGTCATGTGTAGCTCGCCGTGTCATCACGCTGTACAACCAGTGTGCGCTAAATAAACTTTATATCCTTTATACTGTGCATTCTTTGAATCCCGTACAACCTCAACAGGTTATGGGCCCAGAGCGCAGAAAAGTAAAAATCGAGTGCGTGTTCTAAGTCTCGTTGTTCTGTAAAAATAACCTCTAGAAGAAATCATCATGTCGGTCGTCATTGGAACGCAAAACTTAGAAAAATTGAACGATACTAATTACG